TCAGCATGGCCCACACACAGAGATGTGCTAACAGTTGATCTGAGTGTCAGAATGGATAGACATGTGGCTTAAATATGCCAAAAGAGACAAGACAGATTGTATTTCTAGATGTTGCAGAACTTACTGCATACAAAACATCAGTTATGCAACTTTGAGAATGGGAGATTACTTTCCATCATGGCAAGAGTTAGAGTCTTAATCATTAGAATTTAAATATACAGAATTGCTAAAACGGTGACTGGAACTTATCTAGTACAACTTTCCTTTGATTACAAGCTCTTTTTCAGGTGCAGTTATGCCCTGCCTGGCAAAGCAGTGGACGTTCACGTTAGCAGGAGCATACTTGGGGCAGGTAAAACTGCTGAGCAGCTGCAAGATTCACACATGAAATAATGATGATTTTTAGTAAAAGGCATGGGTCAGATATTGTTTCAGAATATCGCTCTGAAACATCCATAGCTGATCAAATACAAATTAGGTTTTGCAGTGTTAGACTTTTCTAGTAAAACTGCTGAGCAGCTGCAAGATTCACACATGAAATAATGATGATTTTTAGTAAAAGGCATGGGTCAGATATTGTTTCAGAATATTGCTCTGAAACATCCATACAAATTAGGTTTTGTAGTGTTAAATTGGACTTTTCTAAATTACATGAAACTGAGCTCCTTCCTGTAATTATAGAAGCAAGCACTAGTGTAACAGAATACAAAGGATAAAACAAGGGCTTAGAATGCAAAATTTTGGCAGCACTGCATATACACGCAACAGCTTTTCAGGGAATTTGTCTTGGTACTCTTTGTGGGGCGAGAGACAGGAAGGGAAGGAGACAAAGGCAATCTATGTATTTTCTGAAGCATCACAGGTACCTCTCCATTAAGTAGGTACTTACTGAGGTGGCTTAGTTCAGACATCACATCCCACTCGTGAAACACTGTTACCTGTGATCTGTTGTGACAACCATTTACCTCCATTAACTTGTCCAGAGGAAAAGGATCATCACAAAAACCTGTGGGTAGGCTTGCTGCTCGAACCAATGTTTTTGTAAGTGTCTTTTGGCATCTGTCAACTCTCCATTAAGTAGGTACTTACTGAGGTGGCTTAGTTCAGACATCACATCCCACTCGTGAAACACTGTTACCTGTGATCTGTTGTGACAACCATTTACCTCCATTAACTTGTCCAGAGGAAAAGGATCATCACAAAAACCTGTGGGTAGGCTTGCTGCTCGAACCAATGTTTTTGTAAGTGTCTTTTGGCATCTGTCAAATTACACTGGGCTGGGCAGCTCACTGCTCTGCTTACTTGGAGAAGCAGTTTCAGTATGCTGAGATCCTTTCAGAAGCAGTCCATAGATAACTTGTCGAATGGGCAAAGCTGTGCTGTGAGCACTAGGTCTCTGCATGTTCTCCACCTGGACGCGGAGAAAGGTACTTCTTAGTACGAGGGTGTTGATGATGAATGGGGCCAGCTTACCTCTCGCCAAAGCATCGAGTACCCACTGTGGTAAGTCTGCTTTCCTGGCAGCCTCGCACTCATACTTTCCGTTCTCAAAGAAGTCCTCAAGATTCACGTCGGACGGAGCGTAATCCTCCATGGCAGTGCACAGAAGCTCCCTGATTTCTTCCCTCCGGTGTTTCTTAAGGTATTTCAGCACGTTGTCCATAGCCTCGCCGGGCTCGGCGAACTGCGCCAGCCAGTTCAGCAGCCCCTGGAGGCGGAGGTGCCTCCCGCCCTTCCCCGCCGCGCAGCCCCGCGGCAGGCGCACCTGGCTGAAGAACACCTCCAGCGCCGCCAGGTCGAGGTAGTCGTTGCCGTTCATGACGGCGAAGAGCGGGAGCAGCCTCTTGTCCAGGCTGCCGAAATACCTGCAGAACCTGTCGAGGGAGAAGCAGCGCGCGGGCACGAAGCATCCCCGCATCCCATCCTCGGCGCGCACGCCGTGCCACTGGAAGTGCGACAGCGGGCAGTACC